AAGGAGAGCTCCCCAGGTTTGAAGCTCATCCATTTTCAAACGTTCGGTCCCACACTGGTTTCTGTTCTGCGGGCACGCTGCGACTAAAACGAGCAGTGCTGTGATCCCGTCTGGGGCTGAGATGGGTCTGGTCACTGGTGTCCCCTTGGCGTGATGCTGCTCAGCCCTGAGCCGGCTGCTCATCCTCCAGCTCAGGCCGGGAGAGGAGGAACTGCGTGTTCAGTTCCCACCCCACAGGTTCAGAGACGTGTATACTGGAAGGGCCGCTGGACACCAGCCGGTCCAGCTCCCTGCTCAGAGCAGGCGACGAGCAGGTTCCGCTCACTGTGAAACTACTGTTTGTCACGCCGAATTTACCGAAGTGCCGCGCGTTGTGGCTGCCCCGTGTCGTGGCTCTGGAGCTATCTAAGGAGACTGGAGTAACAAAGCTCTCTCTACTAAAATGGCGCAAAGACCCACAGGAGACTCTTTGCCTGCTAAAGCAAATCGGACTGGTTTTCCACACCCTGGGGAAGGATGGAAGGAGCCTGGGGCGGCAGCAGATTGCATTAATCTGAAAATATAACCCTTTCAGTCGTGCTGTATTGTTTTAGAGAGGTTAAGTCGACCTGCTGTGTGCACCTCTTACAAACCACCATAGAAACCTCTAGAAATTAATGCTGAGAGCTGCTTGGCTCTGCATGAGTTTTCCAAAAACTGTATGGCTTTATCATGACTGCATTTGCTGCCTAGCCAGGATGAATCCCTACAGAAAGAGGCTGTATTTCTCTTTCTCCAGGCAATGTGTTGCATTGCCTTGTTCCCTTCTCCCTCTCCCCCTCCTCGGGCAAATTAACACTGTGGCAGCAGCATCTTCCTTCCTTACCCTTGTTACTATGGAGTTTTCTAGTGTCGATGGGCAAGATTTGATTGAACCCCCCTGAAAGCTGTTTGCTTCTGAATGACTTCCCTGGAAGCAAGGTTAGAGCAAAGCTTTAGCGTCTGTGGGGAGAGCCACGCTGCTGCCTGCCCCTGCCCACTGGCTTTAGCAGCGGGCAGGCTCAGCTGGCTTCCCACGCTTGAAATCTCTGAGGTTGCGTGTCTCACGGATGCTGGAATTTGGGTGGCCTCATTTCTGCTCCGGTCTCTGCTACTGGCCTGTCCGATGGCTTTGAGCAGTGGCTTTTGTCCCCAGCGAGGTCCTTCCCTTCGCAGTGCCTCAGTGTCCCCAGCGCAAGCGGCACTCGTTGCTCCCGCCGCTGCAGACAGCAGCGGGCTGTGAGAGCCCCTCGGTGACTACGAGAGTGCTTTCCAGCTCTTTATAGTGGCAACCCAAATCGTTCTGAGGTATTTTCAAACATGGCTTTACAGTCGCACGTACGCAGGGTGTATCTGCACGAGCGCTGGAATGGAGGAAATCTGGTTTTCTGTGAATTCGTGTCTCGAGGGCGAGAGCTGATATTTGAGCTCCAAATGAGAAATCCCGAAACTGGGAGCTTTGCAAGTGCTTTCTGCTGCGGGGTTTCACTGGTGCCTGCATGTCCGGGTAGCAAAACCCTAGTGCGGTCTCTCCCTCCACCTAGGTGCATACTTTTGCAGCCCTTGTAGGAATTTAATATCTTTTAGATTCTTGTTCCCCCATCAGCTTTGGTTCAAGTTTACGCATTTTTAGAGGTGAAGCCAGACAAACGACTGACTGCGTAAGCCTTAAAACTAGTTGGAATTTTTAAAAAGCAAAAAACAGGGACAAAGGCATGAATACGCTGTGAGCCATAAAAATTTGTTTTTAAGCATTTTGGATTTACTCTATCAAGCTTTTCTCCGGGATCATAAAGAAAAGATATTTCCCCTTCTGATGTGTTTTATAAATGGAAGCTGAATGCTGAATGTGTCACTTAATGATGTGGCTCCAGGAGTATGTGTTCCACAGCAAAGAGCACAACACAGAAGAGCATCATAAAGCTTTAATCTCGCTGTTAATTACAGAGTTTTACAGCAGAAACTTTCCATAGTCAAAAGAGCATTATAGCAAAGGTAACTTTCATTTTTCAACCAGACTCTCAAGGCAAAACAAACTGAATGGAGAATCTCCCTTCTACGAGCAGTTTGTTGATACAAACTTCTCGTTGTATGTTGATCTCATCGTGTTGATACTTCTGGCTCAGTCAGAAGGTTATGAAGCTCAGGTGGAGAACAGCCACGTTGCCACTGAAGGCTTCATACAGTCAGTGTGGCAGGAATCTTCCAAAGCCGCTGAGCTTTCAGACATCCTAAGGAGAAAAGGGAAAGACTTGGAAAGGAAATATTTAATTTCTAGTGGGAGTTCCTCTTTGGCAGTCACTGCAGATAAGCAAATACTCTGACTATTTTTCTGGAAGCGAGGAGGGTCGGGGAATTTGGCTAATCAGAGATGGGATCTGGAGAAGTTGCTCACCCATTGATCAGAACTGAGCTTTTACTTCACTGTGCAGTCCACAACCCGAAGTAGCTAAATTGACCTGTGGAGAAACATTTGGCCTGCAAAATTTTTTTTTTAAAGTGCACATGCTTAAAAATGTCAAGGAAAAACATGATTTGGAGTTGTGAGTTAATGATGGGCCTCTGTGTTGCTGAAGAACTGGTCTTCCCTTGTGCAACTGCGCCCATCTCCTGGGCTCATCCTGGCAGGAGAGTGGTGGGCAGCAGGCTGCATTTCTCCCTGGCAGGCTCATGGCATTTGCCTGGCAAGAATGGCAGGAACGTGTCCTCCTTCCAGAGCTCGTAGCGCTGTGTACAAGGTGCTTGTGGGGCTGTTTTTCTCTGTTTGGTTTGGAAAGTGTTGCCAGCTCCAGTCATGGCTTTCGCTTGTGAACATTCTCATGGCAAGACCACTTGAAAATAAAGCAAAACTCCATTTAATTGTTCCAGCCAAGAGGTGCCAGGCTCTCTTGGTCCTGCTGGTGTCTTTCGGCAGTCTCTGCCTGACTGAGACAGGACCCATCACTCTGGCATGCAGCCCTGAGGAAGGAGTGGCAGGGAGGTGTGCCTCACCCAAAGATGAGAGGACACCAGGGTGGACATCTCTGCTTGTGTTGTCTTCCTGGCCTCTTTCAGTCCAGCTGGGTCTCCTCTGCCTGTTTGGGTGGTTATAAAATTATAGAATCATAGAATCATTAAGGCTGGAAAAGACCTTTGAGATCATCAAATCCAACCATCAACCAACACCACTGTGCCCACTAAACCATGTCCAGAAGTGCCAAGTCTACACGTTTTTTGAACACCTCCAGTAATGGTGACTCCACCACCTCTCTGGGCAGCCTGTTCCAATGCCTGACCACTCTTTCAGGAAAGAAATTTTTCTTAATATCCGATATTTAGCATCACCGTCAGTCCCCCAGAAGCTTTCCCACAGGTTGGATCAAGCTCAACAATACAAGCTTGATCCTGTATTGTTCCCACCCAATACTTACATGAAAAGATGGAGTAAAAGACAAAACCGGTGACAGACTACAGAGAGTGCACAGACTGGTGCGATAAATGTAACCAGAAGCCCTGGAGCTGCACAAGCTAGGAGTGGCTGACCTCTTCTCACACAGTAAAGCTGCAGCCCCTCAGCCCCGCAAGGAGGGAGGTAAGCTGCAGGGAGAACCTCAGAGGGCTGGTACGCACATAACCCTCCCCAATTCTGCAGCCAAACAGGCTGAGCGCAATGCTTGAACCTGTAAACGTGGGAAAGTTTGACTTTCTGGTGGCAGCGGCATTTGTAAGACCAGGATAGAATGCATATGTCTTCATTTGGTAAAAGATACTAGAAAATAGAAGATTCTGGGTGGATTTGGGGTAACTGATCTGGGACACGTGTTGCAAAGCTCTCTATCCTACTGAATTTAGTCATGAAAGAACTAAAAAGTAGTTTGGTTTGAATGTCAGTTTTGTACATATGCCTCATATTAAAGGTCCCTTCAGTAGGCTCTAGCAAGAGTCAGCATCTGGGACCTGAATCCAGAAACACTCAAACAGGAAATTAGGAGCAAGTCTACAACAGTGAAAATAATTAGCTGATGGAGTAGTTTTCTAAGGTGTTTGGGCACTAATCCTCTTCTTCAGTCACAGTCGATATAACACTGTAATGGTAGAGTGATTTATATCTAGCTTATAAAGATGATCGATGCCTTTACAAAAGACTCAGGTTGAACTTGAACACTATGTCCTGGACTTGGTGTGAGCACTACCAGGTAGAGTTTTATGGGCTGAGCTATGCAGGAAGCCTGCGATCAGAGATGTTTGGGCCAAAAGGAGTTACGAGTCGGGCTCAATGGTGTCATTGTATAGGCTGTTCTTGCTGGCACAGGCAGAGATCAGTTTTCATCTCTCACACTTACAGGCTGGAAAAGTGTTTAATGGATTGTGGAGGCTGCTGGTAAGCTAATCCATGGAATGGCAGAAAAATAACGATCTCATGAGTGACATTTGTGTGGGTTTTTTTAAGGTATGTGTGTCAGAGAGTGGGGTGGAGGATGGGTTGGAGGAGGGTTATTTCCCATCCAAATCCCGCATTGGATAGCTCTGGTTAAATACGCTAACATAGTGCTTAGAGATAGTGGTAGGAATGATGAGAGTCAGTTCCACATTCTTCAACACCCACATCAGGTCATCTCTCTAAGTGAAGGGTGGAGATTGCTCTCTGCTGTTTCACGAGGACGTGGTCTGACGGTCAGAAGCACAATGGCTGTAGCCACAGGGACACCCTCTTATGGCGGTTCCTGTGGGAAGAAGTGGCCAGGGAGCCAACTGGCTCAAAAGCACCGCCAGAGTGGGTTGCGGAGTTACTAAATTAGTGAGGGCAGTAATAACGGTGTGGATTGCCTGTTCCTTGCCCAGGCTGCAAGAAGCACAGCCGTATAAAAGCGTTTTCATTTCAGTGGTTGAAGTCTGTATTCATTTAGCATGGAAGAATCCCCCTCCCTTGTCTTCCTGTAATGGAAGCAAGGACTGGACCCTTCAGCCTCTTAGCCAAGCCTTGTTCTGCATTTCTTTTGCAGCTGACAATCCTCCCATAGCCCGCACTGGCATGGACATGAGGGTACAGCCCGGGGAGCCAGTGATGCTGAGAGGCACAGAGAGCACGGATGACCGAGGGATAGTCAGCTATCAATGGAAACAGGTCCTCGGTGACCCTTCCGTGGAGATGAAGGTAGGGAGCTGCAGGAAGGATGCAGCTTGCTCAGTGTCACCTGTGGTCTGCACTAGGTTGGGCTCTCACAGCCACTGACTTAGAAGTCACCTTGTCCTTCTCTCCTCAAGGCAGTCCACCCATGAGCCTGTTCCCAGGAGCTTTGGAGCACTCCTTGTGGTTGCCCTCACCCTCTCGCACACTACTGGGATGTGGCATTTCTTGGTCTTATCGCATCTCAGGCTCCCTGCAGCAGGACGCCATCTCAAACCTTCCTGAGCAGCGCCTGATCTGCCTGGGTGGGAGCACCCAAGAGGGCAGGAGCTTCGATGCAAGAGCTGCCTCTGCTCCCAAGCTTCTGTAGTTCAGTGAGGGGCCTGCCCTTATTTTTGCTCTGCTCCACTTTGGTGCGTCTCCTCCTCTGGCTCTGAATAATCCAATCTCCGGCTCTGCTTCTGTTCCCCTGGGGCTTTTCCTGGACCTTGCCTGTCTTCAGAGCGTAGGTTCCTCCTCCTTTTATCTGAGCCGGAGCAGAAGTCATGACTCCAGACTGGCTCCGAGATCTCTGGGGTGTGAACACTGCCTATCTGATAGATGTTAAATGTGAATTGTGGCTTTAGAAGAGTAAATGATTACTGTTAAGCTTCTGCAAAATGCTCTGGAAAGCTTTGGAGCTCTTGTGGCACCTTTTGGAAAAATTGGCAAATAAGTGCATCAGGCCCACACCTAATTTTGAAGACCAACGATTACTATGTCTAGGGTGCTGAGTGGGATGTGGAAGTCTGGAAGTGCTCCTTTCCTCTTCCTTCCCCATCGCCCAACCAAAGCAACTTTCAGGGGAAAAATAATCCTCAAGTATGGTGCTGTTTTAACTACATTAAGATGATATATGGCAATGCTGTGTTCTCTTGAAACCTAACCAAAAAGGCAGATAGCATGGAAATGGAGGGCCAATATTGTTAGCAAATATAGGGAAAAAGTTTGTGTCAATAATATCACAGCTTTCTATTCTGCCAAAATAATTCATTCTCTTTTAGAAACCTCTCAGCAGGCAAATAAATAGGCACTCGTTTCCATGTCTAAAACTAAATATACTTGTCATATTCAAAATTAAAGAATATAAATACTTAAATAGTTCTTAAATACACCTAGCTTATTCCCTATGTACTAAGTAAAATAAAAACTACAGGTATTTCAGTCCTCTCCAAAGATTTTTTTTTTTCCCCCTCATGCCTTCACAATGACCCAAAATATGAAATATCTAATTACACTTGTGGTACTCTTTCTCTCTGCTATTCCAGCTGGACACCAGCCCATGGATTTCAGGCGCATTGCATAGCACTGAGACATTTTTCATGCCAGACATCTGCTTGGGGGTTTCCAGCCAAGCTCCTTTCTTCCTAATGCAGGAACATGGGCCTTGCATGGCTTCACTCCTTCATTAGAGGTAACTTCTTCTGCATAAGCCTTTCTTTTGCATTCTCAGAAGCACGGAGAAGATCAGGTAGAAATCTCCAACCTACAGGCGGGAACTTACGTCTTCCAGCTTACTGTCACGGACACTGCACAACAGCAAGACTTCACCAACATCACCATTATGGTGCTGAATTCTGAGCAGACTGAAGGTGAGCCTGAGCCCACAGATGTCTAGCTGGAGTCCCCAAGCCTGGGTGCTGCTCTGGCATTACTAGTGGTCTTCTCAGAGGGGTAGATGGGAAAAGGGCACAACCAAGAGTCCAGAGTTACGTGTCAACTTTTCCCAGTGAAAGCCTGCACCTGGCCAGTAGTGGAAGATCTCCGCATTCACAGTGGTCCATTTTAGGATTTTTCGATCCTCTTGCAGAGAGGTGGCCTGCAATAACCCCATCCTCTCTGCATGTCATTGCCCTCTTCTGGGTGACACCAGAGTGGCTGAAGCCTGGGGTGCAACTGAGAGTGTAAGACAGGAGAACCTGAAAAGTCTTGTTGACTCCATGGTTTTGCTGTGAAGACCCTAATTCCCTTAAGTCGCAGGATAGGTGGAGCCATCTGCATGACATTCAGAGTGTGCCTAGCTTTATTTATATGTTTTACTTTAATTGCCTTGTTTAATGATCAAAATGTTCAGCATTACAAGTGCATTAGGAGCAAGGAGTTCTTGGACAAAGGGTTGACTAGTAGCTAAGCAGGGAATTTCTCCTTCTACCACAGGCACCATAAAAATATAAGAACAGCCATGTCAAGTGACACTAATGGTCTGTCCAAAATCCAATACACTGCATCCAACAGTGTCCAGAGGTTGATACTTTGAAAAGAATACAAGAAAATGACATAGTAAATCCCTACTGTGCTTGGCTAGTCTAGTCCCCAGGGAATTTGCAGCTGGGAGATTTTTTTAAGCAGAAGATGGTGTCTTTGTGTTTAATAGCCATAGGTGAATCCCTTTTTGACCTCATGCAATCTTTGCACAGCAGCAACATCCTGAAGCAAGGAGTTTCACAGCTTAACTATGTGCTGTGTGGAGAAGAAGCTCCTTTTGTTTTATGGACATGGCACCTTCTAATTTGATTTTGTGACCCTGTCCTTCATATAAGAAAATATATAACATGATTCCCTGCTCACCTTCTCCATGCCACTCAAGATTTTATAAGTCTTTCAGACAAGTGTCCACACTGTTGACGAACTTTCCTTTGGAAGATTTTCTCCTTTGTGTATGTGCAGGCAACGCAACCTAACCTGAGCCTTTTATGTTAACTTTCTTGATAGAACATTGTTTGACTCCTAAGAAGGTGGGTTGGTGTCGGGGATCTTTTCCACGTTGGTTTTACAACCCAAGCCTTCAGCAGTGTGAGGAGTTCATTTTTGGCGGCTGCAAGCCCAACAAGAATAACTACTTACGGGAAGAGGAGTGTCAACTCGCCTGCAAGAATGTTAGAGGTGAGTCTTCTTCAAAAATCAGCCCTCTCTTTCTCATAGGATTGGGATGACGCTGTGGGCAGGTACTGCAGCTTCTTGGCTCACAGCTAGTTAGAGCCCAGAGAGCTGAGGAGACCAGGCTCATTATGGATAGGGAGTCCTAGTCTTACACTGCCAACATATCTGACCCAGCACCTGGAGCACTGTTCCCCTGGTCAGTGTCCCTGGTGTGTCTCTGGCTGCAGAAACCCTCACCAAATCTTCATGTCGCATCTGAAACCTAAATTCAGAGGGTAGCATTGTGCTATGTGGGAGCCAGAAGTGCTTCGCCCCCAAAATGAAATTAATCTTCCTCCGTGGCACCCTCTTAGCCAAGTGTGAGAATGCCTTAGTGCTGCCTCAGACAAATGGGCTGAGCCTCTGCCAGGCCCCTTGCAGTGCACAGCTTAAGGAGGAGGCAAAAGCCTTGGAAAAGAAAGACTGTTTGAGCATGGCCTAGCTGGTGGTGGGAAGTTCCTCTGTGCTCCTCCAGGCCTGCCTCCTGTGGGTACTACTCGTCTGTGGTCTCTGGGTGGTGGGCATCCCTATTTCCCCTCCCTAAACCTTACAGAGCTTGCTTCCAGAAAATACGCACTTCTTAGGTGAGATATGAAGGCAATATAAAGCTGATTTTGATCTGACAAAATGATGTGGTGGTAAATGTATTTTATTTTTTCCCTTGTCTCTTCAGGTTCTGTCGGTGGGAGACAACAGCCAGGTGAGCCTCCTGTACAACAATGTAATCCTGCTGTGAGCTCAGGCTCAATGTCTCACGTCCAGTCCTGTGGCTTTTGATTAGCACTCAGTCAGTGTAGAAAGTGAGGCACTGGAGACTAATTTCTTTCCTAAGCCTTTCACTTTCACGTCATGGGATAATTCAGGTTGGGGATTACCTCTGGAGGTCATCTGGTCCAACCCACTACTCAAAGCAGGGCCAGCTTTGAGTCACACTGGGTTGCTCAGGACTGCATCCTGTCCAGTTTTGGATATGTCTGATGAGATTTTACACTGTCTCTGGTCAAACTGTGGCATTGTTTGGTGACACTTATTATAACTTTTTTCCCCTTATACCAACTCACTTTCCCTTGTTGCAACTCGTGTCTGTTGCTGCTCACCCTACTGCTCTGCACCTCCAAAATGAGTCTCTGTCTGTCTTTTTCCATAACCTTATGCTAGGTCTTGTGCTCTAGCCTCTTGGTGAGTCTCTACTGGATTCACTCCAGTATGCCAATGTCTTTTGTGCACTGGGGAGCTCAGAACTGGGCACAGTTCTCAGCACTTGGGACTACCTGTGGAGCAGAGGGGAATAACTGCTCTCCTCCATCAGCTCTCGCAGCCCGGTGTGCAGGTTTCAGTTTGCTTTTCCTAATTTAATACCCCATGCTTGGGCAATATCTCCATATTCTTCCTGAGTAGCTCTTTCTTGCTTCTACCTCCTGTGTACTTCTTTTTTGAGAGGAAGCATGGCTGGTCCCAGAGCAACGTTTCATTTATAAACAATAAATTATTATTTTTTTCTTTTTTCCGAGGCCAGGGTGGCACTGAAGAGAAACCTTAACCCATCTGCCTTGTTTCTTGTTTGCCAGCTCTATTAGCAGTTTTTAAGTCCTTCACAAAGCATCTGTGTGGCAGGGAGACACAATGAATTTTAATGAGGTATCTGAACTGTTTCTGATGCAGTGTGCAATGGGAACTGTCAGTCCCCCTTCTTCAGATGCAAGGACGGCTGCTGCATTGATGCCTATCTGGAGTGTGATGAAACTCTGGACTGTGCTGATGGATCCGACGAGATGTATTGTGAACAATGTAAGTACTTCAAATTCTGGCTTAGATGACAGTATCTGCCCAGGGGTGAGTGCAATGTAAATTGCAGGTGTTGACTCAATGCTTTTTGGTGCCTTCTGTTCTTATCTCCTGACCCTGCATTACCTTTTCCCTCAGTATTATATTTGCAGGTTCTGGCACCTCCCACATCTCTGCTGACTGCAAGAGCTGATCTTCCTTCTGGGATGTTTCTTGCCTCTTAAATACTTGTCGTCTCTCTTCTCTGCGCCTGTCTGTAAGACTTCAGAGCCTGTCCTCCCCTCCCCTTCCAACATTGTTCTCACTGAATGACCTTACCTGCTCTCACAGAGTTGGGAGATGGGAAATGAAACCATGATTTCTCTTAGTCTGTCCAGTGTCATAGTCCCCTTAACATCCTCACGTTGTGCTAATGTAAATGCACAGTGGTGAGCTGCCCAAGTCTGCAAACCCTCCCTCCCTCCCTTCCTCTTCTGACAGAATTCCCATAATCTGTTTCCTATATGTGGGTGTTTGTTGCCTTTTTAGGTTGCAAGCATACAATTCATCTCTTTTGCCCTCTCTTATATCCTACACTAGTGCTTTTTCACACTTCTTAGAACCTGGAGTGATAGCAGTTTCCCCATACTTCTTGATGAAAAAAAATAAGAAAGCAGCCTTTGTTTTCCTTAGTTCTGTCTCTGTATTTGTGCAATGGAAATGGGGAATAGTTTCTCGTTATTATGTTTTATTTTTCCCATGTTCCTCTCATAGCTTTGAAATATTGAAGAACCTCAAATTGTATCTCCCTTTCCCTGGCTTGTGATAGCAAAGGAATATGCAGGAAAGCTCTGTCTGTCCGTGTCTGCATGGATGGAGGCATTTCTTTTGTATTCAACTGGTGAGAGAAGTTTTAACATGAAATGTTTCTCTCGCAGATGCTCGTGAGTTCAATAGACTGCAGAAAATCAATGTCACACATAAGCAAGGTATGTACTGTCCAGAGCACCCAGGCTGACATCCACTAGCTTTTGTTTTTTAATTCAGTATGTTGTTTCATGGTAAAACTGCTTCCCTGTATAGTTCCAAAAATGGGTGTAGCATCTGGGGTAGTCCCTGTACTAAAAATGAACCAGGGCCTCTTCTCTGACCTTGAGGACAGCCATTTATAGCAGGCTTTCAACTCTCCTGCCTAAACTTTTTCCACCCAAGCAGGTCTCATGCATATTGCCTGTTGGGCACAGTACCTGGCCTGTACAAAACCCTGCAGCACCTTTTTGGAGATAGTGCAAACCAAAGCAGTGTGGGGGACACAACAATGGCATAATACGAGTAATCATATGCCTGTGCTCGATCCCGTACCTTTGCCTTGCTTCCACTAGTGTAGACAGTGGCACCGTCACTGGGCTAAAAGAGTATATCCCAAGTCAGCTTATTTGCAGCTTGCTTGTAGAGGAGACCTGAGCCAAGCAGTGGTTTCTGTGTCCAGTTCTGTTCCCTTCTGCCTCCAGAGGAGGACAAGTCATTTCTGCAGGGGATTAAATCCAAGGTCTAGCATGACTGCATGTTCTGATGTTCCTTTTTCTTCCTTGATAGTTGGGTTTATGGGCAGGTGGGAGCTCACCTTGGCGATTGGCAATGCCAATTTGAGCACTTGGCAACTGGGCAGTGGGGACCTGGGAACCACTGCTCTGGCCACGGATTCCCTCTGCCATGGTGCTTGTGCTCATCTGTTGTGAGCAGAAAATGTTGCTGCTCTGGGAACACACTGCTTGGGCTACAGCACCTCTCCGTTGCCTTGCCAGGTCACTGTGTGGACTTGCCTGATACTGGACAGTGCAGCGAGAGCATCCCCCGCTGGTACTATAACCCATTCTCTGAGAAATGTGACCCCTTCACCTATGGAGGCTGTGGTGGCAACAACAACAACTTTGAAGAAGAGGAAGAGTGCATGAAATCATGTTCAGGCATCACAAGTAAGTAGACATAGTAATTACGGGCTGGAGTTCTACTGATCAAAATATGAAAATCACTACAGATTAAATTCTGTTCTCCCAAAGAGGCAGTGGCTTGGGAGCTTTCAGTCAAAGCAGCTCTATTCTCAAACCTTGGCCGTGCCTCACAGTGTTCTTTGACATGACCAATGACTTACAGGGAATGGTCTATCTACAGCATCTTTCTGCAATGCAGCCTGTCGTTTCTCAGAGCTGGAAAACATTTTGGGTGCTGTTGGTGAAAAAGGGAGAGAGAAGGATGATAAAACTAATCAGAGATATGGTATGGCCTCCCTAAAGAGAATTTAACTTTATAGCTTGGCTCCAGTTCTCCCCAAGCGAGAGGAGAAATTTTCTGAATTTCTAATTAAGAAAAACTTAGTAGACACATTGTAGCCAGAAGTTTTAAACAAACAAGAGGGAAAGGTTTACACTGTAGAGCTTTGTACATGTTGCTGTGGAGGCCAACAGCTGAAACAGGAGGAATTCTGCCAAACTGTATCTGTCAGGAGCCAAACTGTTGCTGCTTTTCTGAAGTGTCACCCTCAGCTACACTGTGCCTCGCAGCCTGTCCTGAGAGCTCAGTACCATGGCTGTCAAGAGGGATGCTGTATGCATTCAGTCACTTCAAAGCACTGGAAATATGCTCCTCAGACACCTGCCTTATTCCTTGTTCGCAGCCTTCTTTGTAAAACTTTTCCCCCCCTCTCTGCTCCCAATTCAGAAGCAGATGCCATTGGCCGGAGATGGGAATCATTTGAGTCCCAAAGTGCTATCTTAAGTGAGTAACAGTTTTTCCTACAGATCTTGCTTGTTGCTTTTACCCTGTCCTGAAAAATATTTTGTCTTTCCTTGCAAATAGTAGCCTTCTCTCTCACCCCCCTTTTGAAGCTGTGGGAGCAATGTGGGATTTGTGGGATGCTAGCAGTGGTAAGATGCTTCTGTGCACTGTGCATCTGTGGTCCAATTTCTCCTTTATTTGTGACTCAGTAGCTCATATCAGAGGCTTCTGATTTTCCTTCCTTCTGGGTATGTAAGTGTTGGGTGCTACACTATGGGTAAATCTGATGACCCTATACACCCTCTCTACAACTGTAAAGAACATAAAAGCTATTGAATTACAAGTTCTCAAAAGAATATCACATCAAGGTTGGTGTCCTTTCACCACAGAGCTGTAAGACCTCTTTCTTCAGTAGGGAACTCCTGAAATTATACCCTTCCGTTCTTCAACCCCGGAGATAGATTGATTTGGTCTTCAGATTCACACCACCTCTCAAATGCATCATGTTTGACTGTCTCCACTGACGATGCAGGAGTGTGGCTGTCTGTAAAAGACCAAGTGCTCACAACACTGCTACGA